GGTCCATTAATCCTGGCCTCTGGCCCGCTTCTTTAACTCCAGGCCGTGGCTTGAACTCCTAGCCCAAGGGATTATTTTGAGGCCCAATTTGTCCCCTTTGGATAATCAAAAACTTTTTCTTTCTCAGCCATCATGTTCTTCTAAGTGGGTTTATGCGAATATCTAGAGGATTTCGCCTCGAAATTACCCATTTTGACTGTTTAATGGTCTTTGAGGCACCCTTGAAATGATGATGAAATTTGATTAATCAATGTCTAACTATTAGCTGTAGATCATGTTGGTTTCTTGCAAGTGGGATTAGGGTGGGACTCTTCTTTACCGTTCCAAAAGAAGAAGAAGAAGGAGAAGAAGAAAGCAGCGTAGCAGGGAAAATTGCAGCAGAAAACAGTAAGAAAATGGCTGTTTAAATAATTGATGCGTATAACTTTGGTTTAATACTCAATTTGGTCCCTAAATTTTCATTTCTGAACTTAGTTCATCCTTTAACTTCAAAAAGCACCCAAATCATCCTTAAACTTTATTTTTTTGTAACCCAAATGGTCCTTCTATTGACTGAAGTGCATACCTAGCATGTTAAGTCTCCACCAATTACCTCTTTTAACTTTCACAAGCTTATGTGGAAAAAACACCACACCCAATTGATGACATGGCACCAATTTCATTCCATGTCACAATTTCGCCTCTCCCACCTTCTGAATAAACCAATGGGGAACTACAAACATCAAAAAAAGAAGGGGAAACTTCTCAACTTTGCAAGAACAAAACCCTAAAAGCTTTGCAATTTTCGATTGGATTTATTACTTTTTTACAATCAAATCCAATCGTATACATGGACCTGTCCTCCAAAAGTGGAGAGAAGGAACATGAGGAACCAGAAATCCTTCCTAATGTCCTTAGGGAAAATTTGGTAATAGAAACAGCATGTTAGTGTTCTTAAGATTTTGTTACTTTATATAAGTGTGTCTAAATGTGCTTGTTTTGATGCTGGTTCTTTGGAAATTAAAGTTAATAATACTAAAGCATTGATGTTAACTATTAGTTTATTATTGTTATTGTATGTTATGCAATGTTCTACTAGTATATTTGAAGAAATGTAGATTTCAAGATTTCATGAAACTGAATTAGTTTAGTTATTCCAAGTTTTTTTGTTGCATTTTAATTCTAGTTTGTCTTTATGCGTAGTTGTTCTTGATCAGTGCTTTTAGACAATGTAGCACAAGTTTAATTAAGAAAAGCATAGATACAATTCACATGGTTGCTCTCCATTATTGTTGTTTTTCTTTGGAGCAAAAGGTTTTTACAAATGTGAAATTGTTACAAGGAGAGGGCAGTTTAGCAACTGGTTTAGGTGCAACAAACAAGCAAAAGAAACCAAGCACTAGAGTTGGGATTGGTTACCAATTTATTACTATAAGGTAGCTGTGAGCACAAGCAAAACAGATGCAACAAGCAAGGGAAATGGTGAAGAAGAATAATGAAGAAGCTTCATTTGGAGGTTTTTTAGGTTCTGGATCAAATCCAGCAACATAACTGTGTTTTTTAAGTTTTGGCTCAATTTCTTTTGCTTATTGAAGTCTTATGTAGAAATGAGATGAGATTGGGCTTATTGAAGTCTTAATTTTATTTAGGTAATTGGGGCTAAAGTATGTTTTTTTAGCAAGAATTAAGACTTAATTTTAGTAGGAATTTCCTTTGAGATCCTCTGTTGATGAACCAAATTTTGCATTGCTTGTTTGTTTTTGACTTAGTAAACATGTTTATGTTTTTGAGTATATGTCATGGATATAATATATGCCAACTTTTTTTGGCAAGTTGCCTTTTGTATATGTCATGCTTAATTGGTAATTTGAATGGCTATGCAAAATTTTGCTAGATATACCATTGCAAAATAATGGTAGGTTAACCAACAAAGTGAAGGAATTTTGATAGATAAAATACTTGTCACACCCCAAACCTTGAAGCGGAACAAACGCCATACACTTGTGAGTGGACCCATAACTACACCAGGCTTAAAACCAAGTTAATCTACTATCCAAAAATCGAATACAATTAAATAAGGTATGTTAATACCTCTATTTTAATTGAAATTTAAGCAATGTTCAAATAAATCCTTCAAAGTCAAATAATATAATAATTGCTAATTAAATTCTTAACTTCCTAATAATTCCAAAAGAACTAAATCAAATCTTCACTAAGTCCAAACTGACTCTACTAAGTATTCGTCACACGCCCTGATTGCCAACGTCTCTAGTATCATTACCTAAAATGGTGGATGAGGAAAAACATGAGATATACTCTCAATAAGTAAATATTAGGCTTCCCCTCTTTATTTATAAATTTCAAAATTAAGCGAGTCGACAAGTATAAATCTAATATCAAGAAAAAACTGGTACAAGTACAAGAAAAAAAAAAAATCGACGTGTCCTCTAAAAGTCATGGCCAACATTTATAAACTTCTCACTAGCAAGCACAAAATTTTCTACTGTATAATCCCACAAGCAAGATAACAAGTATAACAAGAATGAACCGATTTCGTAAATAACATATTGACATGTGATAGCATTTATAAATCTCTCACTAGCGAGCATAAGTAGAACATGACTATATTGGAGACTAAAATAGGCTAGCAAGTACATTTCAAGTCAACACACTTATTTCAAGAAAAATGTATCACGAGGGTCAAGCAGCATCTATTAAGAAGTTTCTACAATTGGGCTTGCTTAAACAATTAAAATCCAACTTTGAATAAAATGAGATTCAGTCATAATGACTAAACCAAAATAGGTTCTTAATCCTGCCACCATCTCAAAATCGATAAAAATCATATTTTAAAATGGCAAAAATATGACATAAGGACCCGAACTTACACCAAATTTGCAATTTTGGACCCGAACTTCAATTGCGCTCAATGAAGGTCCCGAACTTCACGAAATTCTCAAATAAGGTCCCAATTGGACGGAAAACTAACTTCCGTCAAATCCTTTACAAACACCATTAACGCCGTTAAAGCTCCACCGAACTGAAACGCAACTGGACAAAATTCTGATGAGATGTCAATTATTCTGCCATGTGGATGTCATGTGGACATGAATTCTTGAATTTTCTTGGGCGGGACTTTCCCTTCCAGGACTTTTTTCTTTTTGGAAACTTTTTCTTTCCCTCCCATTAAAATCTGTTGATTCTCTCCAACTTCCAAGATTATTAAAGTCTGAGACAGGAAAAAAAACCCTATTTCTTTTCCTTGCAATGTTGTCCTATGAATGTGACTTTTGAGGGATTTACAAAATGTGGTGGGGTCTTTAAATACAACTTCACAGATTCCACAAGTTCTTTGTCGGTTCTACAATTTTAGGTACAGACATGTGGACCTGTTTTTAATTGTTTGATGAATTCAAGTTATGTAATGTGGTTTCTTTACTCTTTCTCTCAGGTGCTCATGATTTTTTACATTTATTTTATTTTTCCAATTAATGGGATGCATAGATGGTAGTTGTTGTCTTTATTCTCACAATAAATTTTTACTTTGCGTAGCTATGTGTGAGATGATGGTTTAAGTATATTAATTTGAGTTATTGAACCTGATTTTACAGTCCATAATGGGTGAGAAAACATTGACATTTTTCCATGGTGGATTTTTCCTCCATAGCCCTGATTTACGGTATATTGGAGGGGATAGGTATGTTCAAAATGCTGATGAAGACAAGATTAGTTATTTTGAAGTTCGAGGTATTGTAATTGATGATTTGAAATTAAACTTTTCAAGATTATATTATAGTATACCGGGACTTGGTTTGGAGCAAGGATTATTTGAAATTCGTAATGATATTGATGCATTGGAGATGGCAAAACATTTAATTGAACACGATAATGTGAATGTTTATATTCACAATGGGCTTGGGCATATGCTACTTGATGCAGCTCATAGAATTCATGATGTTATTAAAATTGATGATGATGAGAATGAGAATCAAGATAATGAAGCAATTGGAAATGCAATTGAGGGTGATCATGGTGATGACGAAATTGATGGTGACTATGTTAATGAAGCTATTGACATATCTCAATGAAGTTCTAATGAAGAAAATCAAGTCAATGAATCAATTGATGTCCATTGGATGAGTGAAGATGAGGACCACATAGATGCTGCCAATTATAGTTTTCTTGGGGGTTTAAATGTCAATTTACATCATGCTAATGTAGACCAAAGCACCAGAGATGGATTCTATGTGGAAATAGATGTTCTCAGTGATAAAGATGATGACGAATTGATAAATGCATATGGAAAACAAGCTAATTTTTGGAGGCAAACACATGCTGCTTCTAATTGCTACTTATTGGATTGTGATGATGTTTTTGAGGTACCAATAGGGGTTCATAAAGGCAAAGGAAAGGAGATTGCATAAGATATCAATGGTGAATACAAGTTGTCCAATATTGATACATCTATTGCTAGTTCTAAAGGAGAGAGAGACTCGAACTACATTGACAGTGATGATCCAGGGGAGTATGTATCAGATTCTGATAATAAATTCTTTGCTATTGATGATGCTCTTAGGCAAAAAACTTCATGTCCTATTTATGACCCCACTTGTGCTATTCCACATTTTGAGCTTGGTATGAAATTTCAAAATCATATCCAATTCAAAAAAGTTGTTGCCAAGTACTCTTCATACAAGGGGTTTGCTCCTAAATGGTTAATAAGTGCTCCTGATAAGCAAAGATTAGATGCATGGCTGAAAGTTGTCCATGGTATATTTTTGCAACTTATCAGAAAAGGGATGATAGCTTTAAAGTGGTAGCTTTGGTTAGGGACCATATTTGCCTCAAAAATATGAAAAAGCCAGTAGTCACCGCAAAGTTTTTAGTTGAGCATCACAAAATGAGAATTCAGACTATACCAAGGGTTAAAATCAGTGAGCTAATTAAGTTTAGTAAGATTGAGTGTAATGCTATCGTGAAGAAGGACAAAATGGCAAGGGCAAGAAAGGTTTAATGACAACATGGTACATATGCAAGGGCTAACACAAGCTGGGCATGATGCATTAGCAATGCTAGACCCCAAGAGATGGTGCAAGCCTTTCTTTCAAACATATTCAAGGTGTGACATCATTGACAACAACCTAACGGAGACATTCAATTCTTGGATACTTGATGCAAGATGCAAGGCTATATGTAGTATGACAGATGAGCTGGTAGATAAGTTGATGGTTAGGCATGGTGAAAAGAAGGCATTTTGTAGGAAATGGCCTACTGACATTGCTCCAAGAGCATGCAAGAAATTGCAAAAACAATGTTCGCATTGCAGCTTATTGCCATCCACAATGGAATGGGAAACATCATTCAAGGTTAAAATGGACAATGAAGCATTCGTAGTTGAATTCACGAACTCCACATGCACATGCCAAGCATGTCAGTTGACAGGGATTCCTTGCCCACATGCTTGTGCTTGTCTAATTGATCAAAATCAAAATGTGGAGGAATATGTTTCCCATTACTACAAGAAAGACACTTATTTGGAAGTGTACAAAGAACCAATCTACCATTCTAGAGGAGGTATGAGAATCTGAAATCAAACTGGATGTGAACCAATGAATCCACCACCATTTAGGCAACAAGCTGGGAAGCCGAAAAAAAATAGAAGAAAAGATAAGGATGAACTAAAGAAGGTTAGCAAGTCTCGGTTGGTTGTCCAAAGGATTTCCAGATCAGGTGCTAAGATGACTTGCTCAATTTGTGGAGTTGAAGGTCACAACAAAACTGGCTGCCCTAAAGAAAATTCACCAGATGTGGTTCTTGGTAAGGTAAGAGCTTGTATTATAAATACTTACGTGTCCATTAAATCTGGTGGTAATTATAATATAATTGAATTGGTGGAGTTGAGAATCATATTTATTTATTTATTTATTTATTTTACATAGAAGGCTGGTCCCAAGGGCCAAAAACATGCTTACAAGAAGAGAAAAGAAGTTGGTCTTGGTATCTTTAATGACCCATTCACTGGACATGTCATTTTGAATGTAAGAGCATTATTGTCACTTTGACTTATGTGGTTTTTTTTCATAAAAAATCATGAAACAGCCTGGACATGCTTCTGAGTTGTTTGTTTCAAGTGGAAGTCAAAAGGAAAGAAGAGGAATGCAACAAGAGTTTAGGGAGATTGGGCCAAGGATTGAAGTTAGAGAAAGCTAAAAACAAGGGAGCAAGAGAAATGGAAGACATGAAAATGGGATCCAGATTTCTAGGAAGAAGAGAACCTCAAAAGAACAAAAAAATTAAGTCTATTGTGTTATTTTGCTTAAGTCTACTGGTATTGTTGTTAGAATGTACTCTGGTCTTTTGTGTTAAGTCTACTGTGCTATTCAGGTCTTTTATTTATGTATAATGTTACCGTGGTATTGCTTATGAGTTGTTAGAATGTATTCTGTTGCAGTAACAATGTATTCTGGTCTGTTGCTTAAGTTAAAATTGGTATTTTTATTAGAATGGATTCTGGTATTTTGTTTAAGTCTACTGTGTTATTTTGCTTAAGTCTACTGGTATTTTTGTTTAAGTCTACTGGTCTTTTATTTATGTATAATGTTACTATGGTATTGCTTCTAAGTTGTTAGAATATATTCTGTTGTAGTACCAATGTATTATGGTCTGTTGCTTAAGTTAAAACTGGTATTTTTATTAGAATGGATTCTAGTTTTTTGTTTAAGTCTACTGTGTTCTTTTACAATGTATTTTGATCTTTTGTTAGTTTGATATACTGTAGACTTGCAAAGAATGAGAATATACAAAATAAACACTTTTCATTTCCAGAAACTATCAGTAGGAAATCGGATGTCTATTTCCAGAAACTGTGATTACAGGTGGGATGGCCATTTGGTCATCTTACATTGGCAAAACAGAAGCAAAATGACCACTTCCTATTGCACTACACAAAATGGCCATTTGGGCATCTTACTGAGCAAAACAGACATGGTTGTTATCGCACCTCACTTCAACAAAACCAGACAAGCAATGAAAACAACACAAAAAAAAAAGCGGTCCTATAAAAATTCAAACTGAATGAATCTAGCCTTCCATTTTCTTTTATTTTTTCTGGTATTCCTTCTTTGCTGTCCATTCCAAAGATACCCTTTTCATCCTTTTCTCTTTTAGACACCATTACTTCCATTTCAACATCTCCACTACTCTCTGCACTAACCAATTCTACTCTTGGCATCTTGTTCTCATTCTCCAAAGCCAAATTTTCATTTTTAAGCCTATTAAATATATCTTTGTACCAACTTGATAATTCAGCATCAACCCATTCAGAAAAAATGCAGGCTTTTACTCCACCACCACCTGGCTGCAGTACTAAAAATAAGATTCAAAAGCAAATAAACCTGAAATGTGATAATTAATTTCAAGAACAATTACCAAACACCCTTTACTAACCTGCCAAAATGGGCATTTGTAGTACCTTTTTCCTGGATTTAACTCACTTGTGCTAACGTGAAGCCGTGCCACTAATCCATGATCACAAACTTGTCTAGCACCAGATTGATCCACAGAAGGTCGAAGAGAAGGGGTAGATGCTAAAGATGAAGCCTTGGACTTCATCTTGGTTTCAGGCCAAAAATCGAGGACTTCAAGAATGTTTTGCTCCACTTCACCTGCACCTCCACCTACGCCCCTGCTTCGACTATTGAGCTTTGCCTTCACCTCTGCCTCGGCCTTCTCCTCCCCTATTTCAAACAGATGTTTCAAGACAAAAATGGGAAAGGATTTCAAGATTGGTAGGCTCTCAAACTCTTCTGCGTAATGGCTTCTTTGCACTTCTTGATCTTGGTCATAGCACTGCTCTTCACCTCTGCCACTGCGCAATCACCCACACCATCATCGTCTCATTCTCCAAAGAAGTCACCGCCTCTGTCTCATGCAGTCAAATCAAATTGCCAGCTTTTGCACCGCCTTCGTCGAAAATGACGACTACTCCACCCACTACCGAACCGTCTCCATCTCCGTCTTCAATCTCTTCGACTCCTACAAAAGATTGGTAGGAAATTGCAAAGAGGTAAAATTCTCCAAATCATAAATTTTCCAGATCAGAAATTTTCCATATCTGATTTCGGTTTCAAGAACAAAGACTGAAGCAGCAGGTTAAAATTAGGGATTTTATCCCTAATTTGTGGGAAACCTTGGTCAAAAAGACCAAAAGGCCCATCAGTGGATCCCAATTATTTGTGGGGTTAAGAATTCATGTCCACATGGCATCCACATGGCAAAATAATTGACATGTCATCCGAATTTTGTCCAACTGTGTTTTAGTTGGGTGGAGCATTAATGGTGTTAACGATGTTTGTAAGGGATTTGACGGAAGTTAGTTTTCCGTCCAATTGGGACCTTATTTGAGAATTTCGTGGAGTTCGGGACCTTCATTGAGCGCAATTGAAGTTCAGGTCCAAAACTGTGAATTTAGTGTAAGTTCGAGTCCTTATGTCATATTTTTGCCTTTTAAAATTATATTTAAATTTAGGGTTAAACCATAAATTCACTTACCTCGAATATGAAGATCTTAAATCTGAAATGTGCAAGCAATCAAGAACCTAAAATTTACATTGAATATTAATCAGCAACAATCTAGAACTACTAATCTTAATTTAACTTGATAATATCTAATTTTATAAGGTCCATATTAAATTTCCTACACATGTGTTGGCATCTGTTTACTGACTAAAATTGAACGTGTTGGTACTAGTGAATCAACCCTTAAACCTATCACACAGTACCCACGTACTGCGTCACACGACACCACCCCCCCAACTATTTTTATTCGTATTATTTTAATGGATCAGTAGGTGTCAACACCTGATCTGTTATCAAGATTAGAGTATTGACACTACTGCAAATCTCAAACCAACAAGGCGATGGCATCATCGCCACTCATCCTCGCGTAACAACACTCACACACAATCATGTGGGTGCCACTGTACAATGACTCCTTTCCCCTTTAATTTCTACTAATAAATCAATAAATATATATATATATGTATTTATGCCTTGTACTGCTAATTCAATAATCTTTAAGGTAAGACATAAAACCTCACCAAGATTCAAGATTTTGATGTTATATCTGAGATGAAACCTTAATAACAAGTGTAAAAAGAGATCTGGGGATTACAATATTGGGTTTAGTAATAAAGATCCAAGGAAACGAGAAAGAACAAGAAATCAAGAGGAACAAATATACTCACCATTAAAATCTTAAGGTTGAACTATAGGAAAAGAAGACGACTGGGTCTGGGAGGAGGTGTTTACTACGTAAAAGCAAATTTATTTTGAGAAAGGAATAGGGTTGAGCGGCAGACTTCGCGTTGAATTTTATTTGGAGAAATAAAAATTCCTAAATTAAAAAGCATTAATCTCAAATTAAATCTTTAAATTAAACCTTTAATTTAATATAAAAATTTAAGATTATAAATCCCCATAATTGGCAATTAATTCCAACCATTAATTAGGTTATGCACATTTAATTATATTGATTCCCAGAAATCAAGAAAAATATGTGGATTATTACAATAACAAAAATAGATATATTTAAGCAGTGCATCTCTTACATTGAATTACAAAAACCACAACCAAGAGCCACATGCCTAATAATAATATCTAGTGCTTCTAAGTATAAATACACCAAAAATCAAAGCAACGAAAATTAACATTAAAAAAAAAAAAAAAACCCAAACAAATGACTGCATTGATCATCACAACTTTTGAGTATCTCTTCTTCACCTTCTTCACTTTCTTCTCCAAAACTCTTACCTTTCTATCCATTAATCCACTATGTTCCTTCAATTGCACATTTTCTTGCAACAACTTCCCATTTTCCTCCATCAACCTTCCATTTTCCAACACAAGCACATTGTTTTCTTGCATTATTTCTCTCTTTAACGACTTTGCATTCTTTATTTTTCAAAACCAATAGCAACTCCATCGCTCTACCCTTGATCCTTTCCTCACCAGCTAGGAAATGGAAGTAATTGCAAGGATCCTAAATAAAAATCTTGTAAACTAAATAACCAATTAAGAAAAGAATAACCATTAACAAAAAAGACATAGAGAAATTGTATGGTTACCTTCTTCTTAGGACAACATCTAAACCTCTTACCCATGTTTTGAAAAGTAAAACAAAGTCCGTATAATAGCATTTAATCCACAATTGCATCTATACTCTTCGTTTTTGTACTTTATAGAATCTGCCATGCTTCCACTCTCAAATGAACCTGAACTCAGACTCTGTGTAGAATCACCTTCCACGTTATGATTCTCACAAACCCAAAATCTAAAAGACAAATAGCAAAGGATTTAAGGTTCAAGGGAAGAAAAAGAAATAAAAAAATGCAAATGATTTAGGGTTCGAAGAAGAAGGAATCACAAGGTGTAGAGGATTTAGGGTTTGAAGAAGAAGGAGTCACAAGGTGCAGAGGATTTAGGGTTCGAAGAAGAAGGAATCAAGAGTTGAAGAGGATTTAGGGGTCAAAGAAGAAGGAATAAAGGATTCGGAGAAGAAAGAATCCAGAGTTGCAAAGGATTCAGGGGTCGAAGAGGAAGGAATCAAGGGTTTTGAGGAAGAAAGAATCAAGAGTTACAGAGGAGGATTTAGGGTTAAAAGGGAAAAGGAAAGAGAGAGTGAAGTAGATTCTAGAAGGGGAGTCTACATCAACAAAGAGAAAGACATGTGTGTCCCACTGTTTTATTTTATTTAGAAGGTGGGGGTGGGGGGAGGGGGAGAATGAGACGTGGAATGAAATTGGTGCTATATCATCAATTGGGTGAGGTGTTTTTTCCGCATAAGTTTGTGAAAATTAAAAGAGGTAATTGGTGGAGACTTAATGTGCTAGATATGCACTTTCGTCAATAGAAGGACCATTTGGGTTCTAGAAAAATAAAGTCTAAGGACGAACTAAGTTCAAAAACGAAAGTTAAGGGACCAAATTGGGTATTAAACCTATAAAAAAATGTCTCAACATCAAAAAACTAGCATGGGTGTGTGTAGGGGACCTAGGGGTGTCTA